GGTCATTGCCAAATCCTGCTGCCAGGATACTGTCACATCTGCTTTGAATTAACTTATTAGACAAAGTGGGATCTGTGTGCCCCTAAGGTCAGAGAGAAAAGACTTGATGTGGTTTGCAGAACAGGTATATGACTGTATGTGTGAGCGGATATCTAACTATGTTCACCTTCTCGTACGCATGGCTGAAATTCCATCAGAGGCTTCTCTCTGAAATAATCTTGTGACTGTGCTATTGCAGGACAGAAACACCTCTTCTGTCCTGCAATATGATGCAGCCCTCATCTACCCCTTTCTGTGGATGGGCAACAATATCTTTAAAAAATCTGATATTCCTGATATTCATGAGTGACTTCTGATCCGCTCCCATCAGAGTATGCTGTGTCAACAAATACTTAATAGAGTTTTCTCCTTTTGTAGCACCGGAGGGGAAAGGACTTTGCTAATTAGGAGCATGATTGGAGAAAATGATGTATTATACCTCTAATTATTTTTCTTTACCTTTAGATGAAACTTCTAAGAGGTATTTGGCTTTTGAAGAATTTTCAAAAGAGTTTTTCTTTTTATGCTTCATCTACCATGACACCTTTTTTTTTTTCTCTGGGAGCAAAGTCAGAGAAGGGTATTTGGAAAGAATATTCTGTTGCCATGATTAAAAGAAACATTCACAACTTTTAAAAGCAGCTATGTGTGGAAGAAGCCTGGTGCTGCGAGTGAGGTCAAGCAAAGGATGGGAACTTGATTTTCCCAAACCTGTCTGAAGGACGTGTTCAAAAATTTCTCCATGAACTTCTCGGGATCTAAACATATATAGTAGACATTTAGTTAGTGACAGCATAAAATGAGGCTTTCCAGGCTGATATGAAAATCTGAACATTTTGCTTAAAGTCCCTCTAAAATTAACACTGCAGGAATGCTAAAGATCAGATCAGAGAATGTGATCAAGAAAAATGAACTTATTAAGTAATGAAGACACTGAAGAGAGAACAGAGGAAAATCACTTGGTGGAAATACATTTGTCTTTTCAGAACGCTTGCCCTTTTGCTTCTGTTTTGAGGGGAGCACTCTGAGTTTCCAGGAAATTACTGGCCTTCCTACTATCCCTTGTTCCCTTCCCTTGCTTGGGTATGTGGCTCATGCTCTAATACCAGTAAAGAAACGATGACTTATTATGTGTGCTTTCATTCCTTCCAGAAAATGAATTTTATTAGCACCTACGGCTTGCACATAACACATTTGCAAGCACTTATTCGTTGGACCCTGGTAATAAAAATGAGATTTCCTTTAACAAAATGATATCCTGACATTCATAAAAATGAAGTAGTAGGATCAGTCAACCAGCTTAGAAGGCTGCATGCCAAAGTGATAACAGTTTAAATAACATAAAGTACAATGTCAAGGTAGTTCAAGTAATAATATGTAAATTTCTACTAAAAAAATAAGGAGAAAAAGACAATTCTTTTTACTGCAATGTACCATAAAGAGCCCACATTCTGTATGACTAGTTTGGATATGGCCAATGAAAACCAACAGTTGGTATAATCTAACTTGCTCTCATTAATTTGTGACAAAATGAGAGTCAGAGAACAAATGATTCTACAGAAATCATAAAAGTGGGAACACTAGCCTTTGTTCTTCAAATGGTGCAAATTTAAACAAATTCAATGAGCTCAGGAAGAAGATGAGTAGGTTAATAACATATTGGTTACATAATAAATCAAGTTCAAATAAATGGATCTGATGTCTATTTTTTTCTACCTAAACTGATGTCACATTTATCTTTATGATCCTGAAACTATACCTTTAGACCTTTAGATTGAATTTGTGGGAAATTAAAAAATATTATATATTTATTTTTATATGAAAACCTTTTATCAATTGCCTTTATTTCTATGCCATTCTAATGAAGCACGATGGCAAGATGCTTCAAGAAATAGTGGCTTATTTATAAATGGAAGAATTTTTATCAACACCAAATGGGCAACAACTAAAGGTCAGTGGTTCAAGTTAAAGCAACTCATAATTTATGGATTTTTGTAATGCCTTATGAGGAGGTTGCAATACAAACACAGATTTGTTTATTCTTTTTAGTTTCTCTTACTCATTTGCCTCTGAGTCAGCTATTGTCTTTTTTAATTCATCCTTAATGTGAAATTGCTAATTCAAAAATAATGTGATTAAAACATAATAGAAAATTATTGCCATAAATGCCCCCACAGCATGATAGTAAAAGCATGATAGTAAAAAAGTAAATGCTTTTTTTATCTTGTAGTTCACTATTTTCCTCTACTAATCGATATAGTTGACAGTTTTTATGTACCAACGAGTAAAAGGAAGTGATTTGAATCTGTTGAATTTTATTTTTAAAAAATATTTATTTATTTACTCATGAGAGACACAGAGAGAGAGGCAGAGACACAGGCAGAGGGAGAACCAGGCTTCCTGCGGGGAGCCCGATGTGGGACTCGATCCCAGGACCCCGGAATCACGCCCTGAGCCAAGACAGACACTCAACCACTGAGCCGCCCAGGTGCCCCCAAACTGTTGACTTTTGGAATTAAAAAAGAGATTTACAATTCATCTAACTTCCTTACTTAATTGGTGAGAAAATGAGTGTTGGGTATGTTAAATCATCTGCCTCTGGTGACACAGATGCCATGCTTCTATTCCATTGCTTATTTTTCTAATGTTGTGTTCAGTTAGCTTATTGTATCCAAGAAACTCCAAAGTCTTTTGAATACTGTGGTCACTGGTTGTCCCCTATTCCTCCATCTGTGTGGGCATCTGTTCTCAGGGTTTATGCTTCTTCCCAGGGATCTGAGTCCTTATTTCTCATCTGACTCACTATATCTAAGCTGGCCAATCCACCGACTTACTCAAAGGACTGAGTCCTAAAACTCATGTGGCTCAGGGAAGAGCAGAAGGTTTGCAATGTCCGTGATTTCTGCTGGTACTACTAATTATTCTTGTCCCATGGCTCATGCACACATGAATATACATTAGTTCTACTGTTTAACTGCTGGAAAAATTATTAAGAAATATTCTAAATGATGTGTGTTTTAGCTAATTTCAGCAAAATGAGGCCCTTCCATATTCATTCTTAGATGAATGTATTTTTATGATCACATTGAAAGAATCCAAAACATGGCATAAATCCAGAACTTAATTTTGATAAAGGCTGATCAAAGATATAATCTGAAAAATAGAATGAACTAGAAAGATTTTTTTTTTTTAGATTTTCCTCACCTATTTGACACAGAGAGAGAGACCACAAGCAGGGGGAGTGGCAGGCAGGGGGAGAGGGAGTGGCAGGCTCCCTGCAGAGCAGGGGGCCAAGGTTGGGCACAATCCCAGGACCCTGGGATCATGATGCAAGACTAAGGCAGCCACTCAACCGACTGAGTGAGCCCAGGTGCCCCAAGAAAGATTTTTTAATTAAGGATTTTTTGGCATCAGGTGTTAAGTTTCTAATCTTTTTTCTCTTAAGAACAGGCATTCGAAAGAACAGCATGTATCAGGACATACCATATTTGCTTAGCTTTTTATTTACAAGGAAGTAGTAATCCAAAATTATGCTCATTTAACTAAAGATAACAAGCATTGGGGACCTATTATTTTTTTTTATATTTCTTCTCTTTTTTTTCCCCTCTCTCTCTTTTTGGTGTGCTCTCTTTTCTAGAGTTCTATATTACAGTATGCCAGCTTCATTAAGTAGATCTACCTTAATGAGGAAGATGTAGATAAGAATGAAAAAAAATCCAGATTCTAAGAAATATACCAACTTTAAACTATGTTATTATTATAATGCGTTTATCATTTGCTATTGAAACCTATTCAGTCTCTAAGATGGGATAGTGAGGGTTCCAGTAGTAAGTTCAGGTAACGAGGACCATTGTGAATTATTTGAACCCCTTTGTGTCCTCCATTTTGGATACCAAGTAGTAAGCATTTGAAAATTGAAGTATACCTTTCTTCTAAATGGACCCATTTTGCCAGTTTTATCTGAATCTCTTCTAAATTTGGAGAGTTTTAATAGGAAATGTCACTTGTATTTTTGTGTCTGTAGGGTCAGACCATTCTGCTGTCAGGCTTCCCATGGACACTTGATGTTTTTATTGTCAGTCATTTTTTAAAAAGATTTTTATTATTATTTATTTGAGAGACAGACAGACATAGTGAGAGAGAGCACAAGTAGGGAAGAGAGGGAGAAGCAGGCTCTGTGCTGAGCCATGAACCTGATGCAGGCCTCGATCCCAAGGCCTTGGGTCATGACCTGAGCCAAAGGCAGATCCTTAACCAACTGAGCCACCCAGGTGCACCTTGTTTTGTCAGTCATTTTGAAAGAGGGACTTGGGAGAAGGACATAAAACAGAGGTGAAGTAAAAAGCATCTCTTCACTTGGGGGTTAGGGGTGAGTCTGTGTCTAGACTCTGAAGCATGAAGACTTCTGGAGTAGATCCTGTTGGGTGTGTGATGGGGCAATGATATCATTGTTCAAGTGAAAGAGGCTCCCAGGTCTGTGAGCCTCTCACTCTGAACCCCATCTAGGGTCCTGACCTCCAGCATAGCCTGTTAAAATTTGTCACTTGACTTCACTTGTAAATAAAGAATGAAAAGGGAGCCTGTTTCCATGTTCAAAAAGAAACCAACATGGGAAATGTCCTACTCCCAGACTAGAGACAAGGATTCCCAAAGCATTCACTGGATATGAACAACGACCTCTGCAGACTATGACGGTGTAAGTGGTATCAGCAGCGGAGGCAAAGGTCCAGCAGCAAGATAAGATGTCTTGAATGGGAAACAGGAACGCTAATGTGAATGGTAATAACGCCGTTACTACTACTAACCCCAGCACCACCACCACTACTACCGTTATGATCACTACTACCTCTAACACATGATTAAATGCTCTGTCCCTGGCATTGCTCTAAGCACTTTTCTGAAATCACTCACTTGATCCTAATGACAACCTATGAATTGCTATTATTGTCCCTATTTTGCAGATAAAAGAACTAAGAGAAGATTCAGGAAAGTCCAAGATCACACAGCTAAGAAATGTCAGAGCCAGGCTTGGAAGGTGGGTAGCCTTCTGCAGAGTTCCTGTTCCTCATAGCCATATTATTCTATACGATGATCTCACAGAGCTAGGGGATGGGTACATGAAAGCTAATATCTGGCAATAAAACTGGTAGAGTCTTATTTTAAAAAAAAAGAAATAAAAAAAATTTATTTGCAATATTTCCAAACAAATATAGTTTAAGATATTTGTATTACACAGTATCTTTCCTATTATAAATGTTATTAGTGTCAGTATTTAATGTCTTTAAGAAAATCTCATGTTTTTCTTTTCAGAAAGGCTTCAGGATATTTTGATCCATCTTACGGGTATAAATCTGATATGATATAGAAGGATGATGAGGAGGTTAAGCACACAGCGTTTATCTTGGATGTGGCTTCCAAATTATGTTGATGCTTACCTTGATATTTACCTGACATAGATATAGATTTTAAAGGATTTAAGAATTATTTGGCTTTTGTATGTTTTTCGTGGAGGTATGTGCACCCGGTGAACTGTGGACTCGTTCTATCTGTATTTAGACACTTCTCTGGGAGCCCAGCACGTCGTACCATCAAGGCACTTTGGGAACCAACCCTGTCCCTGGGGACGAGGATGGAGACACTGAGTTCAGGACCAAGGACAGCGGTGACACCATGGGCTTCTCAACAGCCATTAAGCTTTGGCTGAGAGGACTGAGACTTGGAAGTCAGTGTGATGCACTATCTCTCTGAGCTCCAGTCGTGGAATGCATGTACTGAGAGAAAAAATTCGGGGTTGGAATAAAACATGTTGCTTCCAGGCTAAGAATTGACTGAGCTTTACTTTCCTCTCTCTTGCTTTTCAGGGCTAAAGTAGGGAAATATTTTCATTCCTCTGTCTTCACCTTATGATGTTCCTCTTTGATTTTGGAATCACCGCTGGGTGTTTTGGTGTTTGTCCTAAGGTTTCAGAAAGAAACCATAATTTTCCCACTTGAATTTCCTTTCAATTTGCCTGATTGGAATTTGATATCATGTATCAAGTGATTCATCAGTAGCATTTATATCTAATCATTTGGGCAGGAAGCCTTGCATAAAAGCAATTATGTTGGGTAATTCCCAATTATCTACATGGAACTCAGATGGATGTGTGTCCTTTAAAGTCTCCAGATGCCAATTTGGGGGAAAACACAAAGCAAAACAGAAATACACTGTTCTCAGCCAAAAGTCTCTTCTGGAACAAAGTTCTACATAACAACAGTGTAAGGGCTTAACCAGGGATTCTCAAACTTGGCACTACTGACATCGGGGGAAAAAAGGTTTATTTATTTATTTATTTATTTATTTATTTATTTATTTGAGAGAGAGAACACATGCGGATGAGTAGCGGTGGGCAGAAGGAGAGGGAGATTCAAATTCCCCACTGAGTAGGGAGCCCAAAGTAGGGCTCAATTCTGGGACCTTGGGATCATGCCCCAAGCCAAAGTCAGAAGCTTAACCAACTGAGTCACCCAGGTACCCCTCTATTGACATGTTGTGCAGGATATTTCTTTGTTGTGAGAACTGTCCTAGGCATTCTGGAACGTTCTGGCTCTCTAAAATGCACTCAGTGATGTCCCATAAATAGGTCTCATCCATATGCACGTTTCTTTTAGATGCTGCAACCCAACAACAATAAACAGCATGGCAAAGACATTCAAAGTTCTAACCAAACAGGTGAAAAAAATCTAATAGCTAGTCACACAATTAGCAGTTTTCAAAAGCACTTGAAAATCACATCTTATTGTTCTTTCATAAAAGTCTTGTAAGTTATATTAGTTGCGGCTAATATTATCTCCATCACAAGGTGAAGAAACTAAGTTACCATTGAAATCTACAGGTATTTGATGAGTTCATGCAAGTGTAGGTTTAGAGCTTGAATCTCCATGGTGGGAAAGCTCCTGTCTGGGAGTCCATCAAGGCGAGTGGGTGTGTGGGTGTGGACTGCCTGAGTTCAAGTCTTGGTTTTACCAATTCCTAGCATGGAAAACTGGGCCAGTCATTTAATCTTACTATTTTTCAGTTTACTTGTCTGTAAAATAAGGATTATACATGGTAAGATTAGAAGGGACTTTTTTTTTTAGAAGGGACTTTATAAGGTATGCAAGATTGTGAAGAATAAATTATCAGCACTCATACATAGTAAGTGCATAATAAATATCAGGTATTAAGAATAATGACTATATTATTATTACTATTATTATTATTATTGAGAATGAATAATATAAAGACAGGTTGCCTAGATTTGTAGTCAAGCTTCATCTCTATGAGCCACATGGCCTTACACCACTGATTTCTCCTTTCTCTGCCTTCATTTTCTTACCCACAGCAGATGATAATGAGGGAACCACCTCACCTGAAAGGGCTTCTGTGAGGATTCAATGCACATAGTGAAGGGTTACTATGTATAAACTACAACAATAATAATGAACTATAATAATAAAATGAAACAAAATGATAATCACTCCTGAAACATAATTGTATTACTTATATATTTATGTTATGTAATAAATATAATAAAAATAATTATATTTATGAATAAAAATAATTCTTCTTCTTCACTAAATACATTATCTTTCCAGACTCAGCTCAATTTGAGCTTAGCCTACATAGTCTTATCTGAGACCACCTGTATCAGCCAGGACTTTTGTATGTGAGCCAGAGAAGGCGATACTTGTCATCTTAGGGCTTTTTTGGTCGAATACTGCTGGGGAGTCAGAGCAAGGCTGGAAGTCCAGCTCTGGGAATGGCCACGAACCAAGAGAAGCCACAATTCTGGAATCAGCAGTTGCTTCTGGAGTCACCCAGCAGGAGCAGCCTGGACACTGTTGCCATGGCCAACCGCATCCATCCATCCTCAGATCCTGTGCTCCTCCCAGGGGGGTGGGGGTCAGGGGCCCAGGAGAGGCGTCTGCCCCATTTTGGCTGGCTGCATGGGGCTGGAGACAGAGGGTCTAGCCTGTGTGGTGGGTGGCACAGCCTCTCCCCAGATACACAACACATGGGAGAAAGGGAGTTCCTAAGGAGCCCTGGGTGGTATATGAAAGGGCTGTGGATGTCTCAGGCTTTCCTACCAATGTACAATGTATTTACCTGGGGAGGGGGGTGTGGGAGGGAGGGTGGAGAGAGAGAGAGAGAGAGAGAGAGAGAGAGAGAGAGGGAGAGAACACTCTGGTTTCCTCTCTAATAGTTAATCACTATGATACTCTAAGAATTTTAATCTTTTAATGATAAATTATTTCATTGAAATACATCAATTTTTCCATTTTATAGCTAAATATTTGCTTTGGATAGGGGTGCAATCAATATCTCACTAGTGGGAATGATGATGAGGAATGAGTCTATTGAAAAAAATACTCAAAATGGTAAAAGAGAAAAACATTAAATCACTTCACCTGCTTTTTACGGGGCACTTACTATGCACCCGACTCTGGCTGGTGTTTAGGACCAAAGGTACAAAGAACACAGGTCGTCCTCTAAAAAGTGATCGTCCAAGCAAAGACACCGACAAATTAGAAATGCAGCACAGTAAAAAGTAGCTGTAGTATCGAGTGACAAGTGTTTCCATAGAGACATAGGTAATACGCTTTGGTAAAACAGAGAGAGATGTCACTGCAGGGTCGTGAGCTCTGACCTGAAGTAGCACGAGGCTGGGAGAGACAGAAGACATCCCGGGAAGGGAAAAATCAAAGGAAAGAGAAAAACCATAAGGAGAAAAGACAAATATCTCACAACTGTTCTATATGTTTCATTGCATCTTGTTGCCATTTTTTGGTCTCTCGTGATTTTTTTTTGATGAATTTATTTGTTTATTCATGAGAGACCCAGAGAGAGGCAGAGACCCAGGCAGAGGGAGAAACAGGCTCCCTGCAGACCCTGATGCGAGACTTGATCCCGGGACTCGGGGTCACTCCCTGAGCTGAAGGCACATACTCCACCACTAAGCCCCCCAGGTGTCCTGATTTTTTTTTTTTTTAAGGCAATAGAGTTGCCGAGTGACAGCCCGCTGTCCATCCGATCCTGTGCTATGTGAAGAGCCATGTTTCTGGGGTAATTTCATGCTAGTCGTATTTCTGAAAGTGCTCTCAATCTAGGGCTGCCTCGCCCTTGTGTGGATAGTATTTTGAAAGGGGGACACATGCCAGTGTTTAGAGAGAAACAAAACACCTCCTCTGCCAATCTAATTCCATTTGAACATGTCCTTATGCTCATTTTGATAAGACCTAAATCAGCAAGTCTGGCTCAGGTGTCAGGATGTATCAGATGAAAGTGCTGTAGAGGGTGGCACGATTGTGAGGTCAATTAGCATCTTAATTACCCACTAAAATTAATTAAGGTAAAGGCGGGCACTAGAACAAATGACCCATGTGGGCAATTAGAATAGCCCTGGATACCTAAGATAAATCTGCCCTTCTTTTCCTGCCTAATCACAGTAAAGCCGTTCCAAATTTATCTCCTTTGAAAAATTATTAAAAGACTCAACTAGGCTTTAAGAAGGCGAGTGCAGCCTGAACTAAAATAAGAGGTGAAAAATCATGGTATCAGAATTTTTTTCCCACTTAAATTGGTGGTCGGCAGGCTTTTCCGGTAAAGGAGAGGAAGCCTAGGAACACGCATTTTAGGCCCGAGGGCCGTAGGTAGGCCTGTGTGACAACAATTCGACTCTGTGGTTCTTTTTTTTTTTTTTTTTTTTTTTTGGAAGAGAAAGACAATAATTTTAGTATCAAGCATTAAACCGTAATATGATGTGTGTGGACTCTGCAGTTCTTGTGGGAAAGCCTGCGTAGACGTCGTGAGAGGTAACGGTTGTGACTGTGCTCAGTAAAACTTTGTTCACAGACACTGCTAACTTTGAACTTTGTGTAATTTTTACATATCCTGACATATCCTCCTTCTTTGGATGTTTTCTTCCCCCAAAGCATTTAAAAACAGGAACACGGTTCTAAGTCTGCAGGCTGTGTAAATACACATGGCAGGACAGCACCGGCCTGCGAGCTGGCGTGTCAACCCCTGGGTTTCATTCATGAGAAACTCATGAAGTGAGATGACAAGGCCCGGTGGTTGCATGTGGCCCGACATGACAAAAATAAATAATATATACACTAGCTTAGCCCCGCAGGGGGTGACAGGGAAGAGCAAGACACATTTTTAAAAATATTTTATCAGGTTTTGTGGCCTTTCTCCAAGATGTGAGTCCATCACGTGGTGATGAGCCTTTTTCAGGCAGTGCCATGTATCCATACAAGAATGTGACTCCCAATATCACTGGGAGCCAACAGGTTCAGATATCTTTTAATCGCACTTGAAATATCTTCTGAATCTGACCACTTTTTTTTTAATATTTTATTTATTTATTTTTTGAAAGGGGGGGGGCGGACAAGCAGGTAGAGGGAGAAGCAGGCTTCCTGCTGAGCCAGGACCCAGATGTGGGGTTTAATCCCAGGACCTTGGATCATGACCTGAGCCGGAGGCAGACGCCCAACCAACTGAGCCACCTGAGTGCCCCTGACCACATTTTTTGATAAGAACTGATATTTACTGGAATTTGAGACATGGGTGATGGACATTGACGTAGGCCCGCAGAGCGCCGCTGCGAGCTATGGTGTGATATTCTGGT